TGAATGTGTTTAATTATAAGTAGGTAGGGCCGGGCAGGTTGGCACAGTCTCTGGTCGCGTGTCCCCCTTTCGCGTGTCCAACCTGTTTCAGGAAATCTAATTTGAAAAATCAACAGTGAAATTGGTACAAGTGGAGCATGCCTTGTTTCTGGTTTTACTCTTCGATTTTTTGAATTTAGTATCGCGCTCGCGGTCGCGGATGAGTCGCAAGTAGGTCCCGAAACGAACGTTTATGTAGGTACTGCTCGAGCACCCACGTGCGAACGGACAGCGATCACTATGATCGATGGTCGTCCATGTGTATTGGAGTTAGTTTTTGGTTTGGTATTAGAAAGACTCGAGCTAGATGTAAGTTTCAGCGGGCATTGCGCTCGAAGAAAGAAGAGGCCCGGCAAACTGCCACGAAGAGGGTCACAACAAATGGCTTCTCATCTTCTGGATCATTTAAATGGTTCCAGAGCATGGAAAGTCATTCTCGTTACTACTTTGTCACTATGCTCTTTTAGTATTTGTAGTTCTATTTTTTTTCCTTTTTCATCACCATTCATCATCGTTTTGGGCAAATCGCGGTTTTCCTTTGTAGTGTTGCGAGAAATTGATTACGGTTTAAATTAGAGTTGTGAAGAAATCGTGTTTGCTTTCGAGCTGCGAATTATGACACCGCGATTGTCTTTTGCAATTTTGATTTTAACTTTTATAGTTGTCTTAGTGTTATACACAGTAAAATTTATCTTGCTTTCTATTGTTTTAAATTAGATTACAGAGTCATTGCTATTAATTAATTTTACAATGTTAGAATATTTAAAGTAGCTTTTTATCCGTACAGTAGCTTTTATATTGTTAATAATAATTTTCATTGAATTTGATTTTAGAGTTAGTGTTGCGATATTGTTCCATCGCAATTAGTTTTACTCCTAGTGTTGCGTAATGCATGATCTGTAGTGTTTTTTGAAGTAACGTTGCGTTTACAAAATGCCCAAATTCTTTCACTGAATTCGTGGAAGCTGTTTCTACTCCTGGATCACCTGATGCAGCTATAAGAGCTGTATAGGATCATTCATCAGCAACTCTTAGCGTGGTTGCACTGGACGTGTCGCAATTAGTGCTACGCATTTTTAAACATGAGTGCATAGATTAATATAGCGTTGCGTATTTATTTTCGGGAGTGATAAACATGATAAAGCACTCTTCGCATTTGATTATGAAAACCAATCAAACCTTTCTTATATTCTATTTGACCTATTAAATGCTTCTATAAAGATTTACAAATTTTATCCGATAAATCGAAACATTCGTTTGAATAATACTTAATTTCTCGTATAAGTATATTCAAAGTTTGAATCAAAATTGATCGTAGACATAATGGATTGTAGCTTTAAGGTACAATTTATCATCATATTTTGTAATTTCAACATGAAACCACATGTATTGGATAGAATTTGTAAATCAGTAATGTTTAAATAATTAAAGGGAAAATAGGAAAAGAAAAAATGATCGCAACATTTTATATATTTGCAGTATATTAGAAATCTCGTCTTATGTAACAGTTTTTGTGTACAATATGACACAACTCTGAGTCTAAATCACTGAACTTTTATCAGCGTCGTATTGCTATTTATTTACACGAAGAAATAGACAAAATATGCGAATTTGCATTGTTTTAGTTTTAAGGTTTCGTTTCATACATTATTCGAGTTTTTGAAAATTTATTCTTTCAGTTAAACAAACAATGTTCGAAAATAGGAACGAAATTGTAATAAGAAAACTATTGAAATACGTCCACGCAAAAGATTTTCATCTATTTCTATTGCTTCTTTTTACATGTTTCGTATCAAAAAGTATGGGATTAATTATAAAAAGAATGAAATTTGTGATCAATATCTTAACTAAAAGTTTTCTTCTCCTTTGAGAGCTTTACATCCACGTTACGATTATTTTTATGGCCTTCTGTAACGTGTCATTGTATTTTTAGTCACAAATTCTTTTATAAGACTCGTACAATTATTTCTTTCGTTGAAATTATTTCAAGATATCCCTCTATACTTTTCTACACAACATTCGCATTGTTTAAGGTTCTTTATGTTGTACATACTTTCTAGTTTTCTTTTTTTTTTTTCATTCAACACGGATCAGATTTAATTAAATTAAGTTAACTTAATTTAGTTAAACTGAAAGTTTTTCTCTCTTCTGAGATCTGTAGATCAATGTTAGGCTCGTTTCATCAGCTTTCCGCAATATATCGTTGTATCTTTAGCCCGAAATTCTTTCGTAAGACTCGTTCAGTTCTTTTGGTTGGAATTATTTCAAGGCTCCTTTATATTTTTCTCCTCACTCAATATTCGCAACGTTAAAGTTTCCTTATGCTGTACTTTCTACTTTCTTCATTTAACGCGGTTTCACATTTAATTTAATTTAATGAAACAGTCCTTTTATAGCTGTTCTTCTGAATGAGACTCGAGATAAGTGAATTGTCGTTGCAATGGTTGAGCTGCTGGCCGGAAGTCATTCCGGATGCTGGCACTTCTTGCGGGTGCAGTGTGGTTTCCATTTGTTTTGCGACGAACACTAATGTAGGTTGTGCACGTGTTCATACGTCGTAGAACAGATTGGCTTGAATCATTGATACCTGTAATGTAAAATATTCAATTTTCAATAAATGTACAACTGAATAATGTTGAACCTTGTACAGGGTGTCAACAAATTATTTGTCGTGGCAAGAGAAACAATTCGATTTGACAAATGGTTTTCGACATGAGCATTTTTAATTGAATTAATTATATTTTTCGAAATTCGAAATTTGCTTTAAATCTTAATAATTAGTGTCCGAAGAATGAATATCGTGTTTGATATTTTGCAAAATTTAATATTATAATATGATACCTGTTAAGGGAATACCCATTGTGCTAGCATTGTGGTTATCGCGTTGCCTTTCTCTATGAAGAATTCGATGTACTCCGGGCAAACGTACGATCGCAATTATGAAACCAGTACGAAATCTCGCGTTCATCCAGCAATAAATTACTGGGTTATAACAGGAATGCGACATAGATAGCCAATGGAGAACCATCCATACGAATGGAAGACCTGTCCAACTTCCGAGAGTCTCGTTATTATCCATTATTAGCTAAAAATTTGATAATGCTTCTTTGTTTAAATTATTACTTGCTGGTTTGGTAAAAGATTTTTTAAGAAATTAAAGCGAATAATAATATTAATATTTAGGCGGATAATTTAACTATTGAAAGACATGTGTATACTGATTATTATATATATATATATATATATATATATGCCTTAGAAAAAACGTAGGTAATTTATATATATTTAGTAATTTATACTGTTGAACGTATGTCTATTAATTGTTATAATATATATCTTAGAAAAAGATTGTCTGAAAGTTAAAGCGAATAATAATATAATAGGCGTTAATTTAAATATTAACGACAGGGTATATTAAATGTTAAATATGTATATTTATTAATTTTAGAGAAATAGTATACATATCTTTTTACGCATTAAATGCAATATTAGTTCAAGATTTACTAGAAATAAGTCACTCACGTTTAATATATTGAATGGAAGCCAACAGATAGTGAATACTATTACGACCGTCACCATCATTTTAATCATCTGAAACAAATAAAAAAGATACAACCATGTTTGTTTCTTTACCATTATCGATTTAATCAATATTCGTAAAAAAAGAGTCAGAAAAAATGTTATTAAAAAATAAAAGTTGATAAATAGAATAGTATTTAAATATTGTAAAATAGTATCTCTAATACATATTCGTTTGTAAAAATGTCTTTTACAAAAAACTTGTGACACATATACCACTTAAAAGTTGAACTAATGAGAGGATGTCGTGGAACAACAATCATATTTATAATTTAAAGTTTACAAAAAAACGAAGCGTGGAATTATTTGTTATTCACTGTGACTTTTGCGAATCCAGAACATGACTCTGTCAGCGGTGAATATATGTATGTATTAGCTAAATCATGGGAAAAGCATGTTTCTGGCCCAAATTTAATCAGAACATAAATTGCACACACCTAAAACTGCGCTTGTAAAATTAACATTGTCGGTAGGATGTTTTCCTAGTGAGGTCGTAAGTCTCAGTCGTCTACAATTACTGCATTTGTGCATTATTCTCTAAATTAACTGTAGACGATTGTTTTAAGATAGATAAGCCTCGGAATAATTCGATTAATCTATATGTACATAAAATGAAAAAATTGGACTAGCAAAGTGCAAAATTGCGAAGCTTCGATTGTTAGCATTAGTAATACTTGGAAGAATAATGGTTGTACCATTAATGCTTTGTGGTTTGTTCAGTTTCTGCTTATTTCACTGCGAATTGACCAACAAATACACGTAACGTTATACGTATTATCACGAATAGTATCGTTTATCGTGATAAGTTGATTTAATTTATTTTTATTTCTCTATATATTATTCAATTTACTATAAAAAAAATGAGACGTCGTTTTCAAATTTTGTAAATGGATAAAAAAGTATTTATAAATAATAAATACATTTATACAATTTCGGCAAATGTAAACTAGCAGTATGCCTGTGACACACATTCAAACCTCTTACTTCTGAGTTGTATTATAAACTTTATTTCATAAGTTTCAAGCTTACTACACCTAACATGCTTCTTGTGTATAACAACGCCTGTCGACGAAATATTTGCAGCTTGTGTGCAGTAAAACGCAGAATCATACCTAACTGTTAATTCAACTTTGATCAAAATTTCCTTCAGAATCATGTTACAGAATTTAAAAATCGTCTTAATCAGTTTTCATCTAGAAAGTACGAAACGAAATAAAGGCTTACGTGCTCTTTGTTCTTTCTTTTTCTTTCTAAATAATCCGAATGTTTTTCATTTTGCTGATAGATATTTTCTGAATCTTGGTTACCTGCGCTTTTATAGCAAACATTTATGAATCTGTCAGGTGTAGCTTATGGTCTCAATCTTCCCCCTACGTATTTTCCTTTTATTCTCTTTTCCCTTCTAGTAGAATTTCTCCTTAAAATATTCTTCTATATATTTTTACCTCTGCCTCTTTTTATCTTTCCGGTTTTCATATTTATATATGATACCTTCGTTATTTTTCTTTCTCTTATTTTTATCATTTATTTTTCGAATAATTTTCCAAGATTTTCGATAAATATGCTGTCGAAACGATATTGAAGACGAATTGATACGAACAACGATTGTTTACTTAGTAACTCAAATGGAATATATATATATATATATATACGACGAAATAATTTATCTGTAATGTGGCGAGTAATATGTACATTTATTTTTCTTTGTTCGATGAGACATTTGGAAGAATTATTAAACCCAAATAAGATTTGAAGAACTGTGATTCTTTATAAGTATTTTTAACTCTGCTGCAGTTCTTGAATTTTCATATTCGTTTCTTCTGTTTTAATGGGTTAAATAGACATTTGTTATATTGTAACAAAATAGTAGAAAAAGATTGAAACGAAAAAACCACTAGCTCTGCATTTAATAAATTTCTCAAATCTGTAAAATATTTAAAATATTTCTTAAATTTCTTCAAATGTAAAGTACATTCATTCTAAATATTATGTAAAGTACATTCATTCTAAATATGACTTTTTAAAATACAGGATGTATTTAGTATGATAGAATCAAAGATGAAAGGATCGAAGAGCGCTGTATTTTACGAAAAAGAAATCAGCAATAAAACGTATCGAAACTGAAAAGGATCTAGTTGCTTGATTACGAACGAATGTACCAGTTTCGCAATTTTTCTGCCGTTCATTTCCTGTTTCTACCTTTTTCCGTTTCTTTCACCGATATTTACCCTCTGGTCGCTTTACGATTTTTCTTTTCACGTTCGGATGCACTCCGACATCAACGAGCACTCCTTGAACGCATGCTTACTACATTTTGCATTTTTTTACGCAAAATACTATGTCATCTTTTATTACAGCTATATGTAAAAGAAACACGTTAGTAATACTGATTAAATATTTCTTATATTGTAAGAACTACATGAAGGTCAGTTTCGTAAGAAATTATTTCAAATTATTCAGTGTATCAATTATTAAAGCTTGTATCGCGCAGTTCTAGAGATTATTGTTTTATTGCAGTTTTATTTGAAATCTTTTTTCTAGTCTGTTTCGAATTGTATTTCATTTGATGTAATTTGATATCGATATCGAAGTCGAGAAATGATACATTTTATTCTATTTGCTTTTATCGAAGTTCTTTAAAGTGGATAATTTCGCGGGCTTGCTGTAGTAAAGTAAAAGTAGAAAAATGAATGAAATATTTATTCGTGTCATGTGGTGTGTTATAATATAATACAGGGTGGTCATACTATCCTTGTCCTTCATAAAATTTTGTAACATTGAACTTAAAATATTTATTAAATTATTAATAATTTCTCGTATCTCCAAAAACAACAGAAAAAATTTTATACACTTTATTAATGATATTTTAAAATATAAGTCATTTCATTTTGAAATCCATTATAACAATAATAATGACAATAATCACTACTACTATTACAGAGAACTTTTTTCACTAATTATGAAAACGTTCTTCCGTTGTTTTCTCTGCATAATTGGATTTTGCATAATTTCTGCAACTTGGCGGCGAGCGATCGTGTTAGCATTAATTTGAATTAATTTAAATTAATCTAAATTAATTTAATTAATTTGACGGCTGTGTTAAATCGCGCAAAATTATCACGATATAAATTCATCCTTGCATCATAAACTTCATTATAAATATATTTTGTTTCTTTAGATTTCAGTTAAAGTAGCATTGCAATTAGTACTATTCATTCGAGAGCTGTTACTTTAAAAAAATTACTTCAATATATTTTGCAACGTTCTCCTATCTTATCTGTGATAATAAATTTAGGTAACATAACAGTATATCCATTATTTAACAGCGAAAGAAATTCATAAACAAACTGGTCTCTCCTTAGTCTACATTTTACTAATTGTAAATGAAATTTAATACCAGAGAGATGAACGTTCTAATATCACTAAAAGCACCTGTACGCCTTTCATAATTGCAAAAATAACAAGCCCTAAAGTCGACTCGATAATCCTAACGTTAAATTAATATCGTTTGCATAGGTGAATGTAATGATCGATGATTAAACGAATTCGAAAGCTATTCAACGTAGAATTTTATATTCATAAAATACAAAGAAGCTCAAATTTATCAAGAAGATCAAATTTATCGTATAACACGTGGTACGCCCAAAAAGTTCGCGGAATTTATTTTATAAACATCACTTACGTAACTATTCGATGTTCCAAATTTACGATGTCACCATTAAAGTAGTGCCTTTCCCGAATGTACGCATTTATTTCAGCCACTCTTTCAAGTACATCAAGGTTAATATTGTGCATTGTGCATTGATTGTAGCTTCTCTCGTAGTGCATAATTTCCTTATTATCAAAAAAAAAAAAAAAAAAAAATATACCCGATTAGCACGCGCTTGATTTGCGATTTTGCCTTCCTCGCCCTCTTTCTTCTCCTTTTTGTTTCCACTTGGCACTTTGTCTCTTACTTTCGAGTTCGTATTCGTATCATCCACGGTTCATCCATAGTTATTACCCTGTCAACGAAATCTGGAGATCTGCATTCAGTCTGTTGACAGCATTGGACACGTCGAAGTTTCTGTTCCCCTGATAGAACTCGCGCGGAACAATTTTGCCACGGACTTTCTGCATGTTCAAAATCATTATGCAAAACGGCGAGTTCGTAGCGTCATGAAATTCGAGCCGCGAGGAGACAAGGCTATCGATTGCTCGTTTAACCGAACAGAATGCTGCAGCGTCGCCGATTTAAGAGGAAAAAAATCATTCCGCAAAATGATTTTTTTTACCATACTACGTATACGTTCGAGAGCTTTCGCGTGAGAATGAAAAATTTCCACGTCACGGCGGATAAATCCAGTCGAAATGATAAATCATCTGAAATATCCATTGTAGAAATCGATTAATCTGAAGGGGAAAAAATTACTTAGCCATATATTTCAGCTGACGAACGTTGTTTGCCATATATTTCGATCTCGAGCGTTGTTATTTCGCTATGTAATTCTTCAAGCTTTAGAGATTTTAGGAATTCAAAGGGAAGTCCCAACGTGAATTTTCAACCTGACCGTTTGTTACCACGGAGATATATGCATGTAAATATATACCGTACATATGTTACATACATAGCGCGGTAAACTCGCGATAAATTCATGCCTCTTTCCAGCAAACCGGCCGTGTAGATATCCGTAACAATCGAACTGTAATCGACTTTTAGCCAGTGTTCTCTCCTTTTTTTTTTGATGACGAATTTACGAGTCTCTCAAAGATATAGTTTTTAAACGATTCACTTGTTCATCCTTCAATTCTTGATAGATAATATTAAAAATTTTATAACACTGTAACGTAAATTTGACGTCGTTGCAATCTAAGTTTCACGATACTCGATGTATCGTTGATTTTACGCGATTCCGTGTCATAAATTTTCACCTTAATCAAGAGCTCGATGGCCATATAGTCATATATTCGTTAAAAATATGAACTTGTATAAATGTTAACAATTTATTCATAAATTTGATGATAAATTATATTTATATAATTAGTAGTAGTACATATATTAGCGGTAGTGAGAATAGTATTTATATAATTAGTAGTAGTATATATATAGCGGTAGTATATATATTTCTTCTTTTTTTTTTTTTACAAAAATGAAAATGTTATTATTGAAGCTATTTTTGGAAATCTGAAAAAGATGGTACAAAGTGTCCTATATTAAGGACATTCACAGTCGTTTCACATTCTGCTGAAGGAAAACAAGAAGTGACATTGTATTGTCAGATAAAAAGAAATGGGAGTGTCCCCTATTTCTTTTTCTTCCTCTGGCTAGTATTTATTGCTTTCCATTTATATATATGCGTTGCAGACTTTTGTAGTCATCATAAATCGTACGAATTCCTGAGGCTTTCCTTGACTCGCTATAGCGAGTAATGCGTCAGTATCTTTGAATTTAATTTACGACAGTATTTAATCTATCAAAAGCCAACATTACGTTAATCTAATGTTTCACTTCCGAATTTTCACATTCAGATTTTTTAATATTTATAATCTCCGAGTCTTTAGATTTTTGAACGCTCAATTTGTCAAGCTTTCAAATTCTCAAGTATGTAAACTATCAGGTCTACAAGTTTTTAGACTTTTAGATTTTCGGATTTTCAAATTTTCAGACTTTTCGATTTTCTCGATACAAGAATTTCTGTTTTTTTTTTTTTTTTTATAACAGTAAATTTATAGACGAGTTACATTATAGAGGGATATTTTTTCTATTTTCTAATTAATCATCATTGTGGCTGTAAAGATATCGAAGGTTCGACCATTCCATCTTTTACGTAATAAATTATTATATTTCGTATAAATTATACTTGGATAATTCATAATATCACACAAGTTTATATTAGAAGATATGAAGAAATCTATTCTAAAATAATGAAAGGTTTATTCTAAAATATAATATAAGTACCTGTATCATCAGATTGATTAGTCATTTATTCATTTTATGTATTATTCATCTCGTCTCGTAATAATTTCAGATCCTTTCGTGATGTGAGATGCATTCTCTTATAAATATAAAAATACAAGCTTCTCCGAAAGATACTTTTTAATATAATTTTATAGACCGGTAATTAATTTTGTATATTTGATTTTGACATATTTCTCTGATATCTAGTAAACTCTTAAGATATTAAACTAATGGGTTTAACAATGTTTAATCTATTTCATATTTTAACATTGTATCTCGTGTATTATATAATAGTTAATATTTGAGTTGAGAGTTTGTAAACTCCGTTGCTACGTGTTATTACGCAATTTCCACGGAACTGTGGCATTCAATAGCGCATAAATAGAGAGAAAAAGATGTTATTATGATGTCAATGAAAATTCATATTAAAACGTCTCCGAAACACAATGGATAATTTGGTTTCATTTGTGACCAACTCATTTCCACTTCTACCATCTAGTGGATCATTACCTCTAAGCATCGAGTTTATTTGTACGATACTGAACTCAATTATTTTGAGATTATCGGGACGATATTATGCAATAGCGAAGACGTTTCTATCTGTAATATATTTCTTTTAAAGTGAAATTACTTTTAAATTGGTTCGTCTTCCTCGCGGGAACATTTTGTCTGATGAAAGCATCCATTCGAACAATTAACTTATGCAATGGAATAATTGCCCCTCGTATTATCGTTAAGCGAGATCTTAACAAGTTTACGTTGCTTCAGCGATGTTCCGCTAATTATCTAATTGCAATCGCAGGATAATGTGCAAATGCACTTTGAACAGTTAATTAATCTATTTTAGATACTGCTATTTTCTCTCTGCGTGAAATTAAGTGACTAAAATAAGTGGGTATCTAGAGATTTGAGGACTTTGTATTTTCTCTTTTGTTACACTCTCAACGCGTTGTACGTTTGGAAGATACAGTTTCTTGGAAATTCAGCAGAGATGTTTATCTCACCATCCAAATGGCTCGCATAAAGAAATTAACAATTTGAGAAATTAACAATCTGAGAAATGATACTCGGTTTTAATTAGCTCTAATTCGTCGTTATTAAAAATCGTATAATGTAGGGCCAGACAGACTGGAACTTTGAAACTCACGAAACAGTTGCCTGAACAACGCAGCAAATATATTAAATTATTATAACGCAATATTATAACAAGAATGCTTGAAATTGAATACATACGGAACTATAAACACCACTTTCTAAGTTCTTCGTTACTTCACTGATTTGAAAACAAAAAATTGTTAAATTTCTAACAACACCGCTCAGACGTTTTTCCTTTGTTAGAATTTATTTGATCGTTTGATGCAGAGTGCTATCAGTCGTCTTTATACAATTAACATTGATCGAAATCGACTCATCATTAGCAGGATAAATTGAACGTATTGCATTTTGTCTGCCGTTAAAGCGAACGGCTCTCTCATCGTCGCAAATTTAATTAGCATCACTTTGTTTTGCGACTTGATTGAAACCGAAATCGATAAAATTCATTAGGTATGCCATTAGATGTACCATTCCACAAAATTTCGTTATACTTCGAGGATCATTATTTGTTATATCGGCGAGTGATTTCCACGATGTGAATAAAAGTGAAAATTCGAAAACGATAACTTTTCAAAGATGTAATAATAAAATCCTGCCCTCCTTAATTAAAGACATTTCTGCGTAGCATTTTTCCGTTCTCACTTTCAACGTATTGCCACGGAATATAATAACTGAAACATGTCAAATGAATTAAAGAAAAACAAAAGGTATCAAAGTTTTCCTCAATTTCGAAATGACAAATGGAATATTTTAATCAACAGGGACAGGAATTTACTTTATTGACGCATACAAGCAATCAATCTCTTTTTCATCTAGAGCATCTATTAATTAATATTTATTGTTTGATCTGGAAATTGTCATTCATCTAGAAGCTTTGAAATGTTTGCTTGAGCGTAGAATGGAGGCAGCGAGTCACGTCTCAGTTAAAAATGCGTGGATTAATCTACGTGCCTCTTCTACGGGCTTCTTCTTATTTTTAAGAAGAGGAACAAACATTCTAAATGGAGATTCTAAAGAAAGAAAGAAAGAAAGAAAAGAAGTGGGAAGAAAGGTAGACATTGATCGAAAATATTGTAAATAATAACCATCCTGCCATTTTGTGGGGAAACTTGGCGAACGTGACGCGATGTATTTCTAATAATACTACTTTACCTTTCTCTTTGATCGTGCCATTCTTTGGTCTCTGACGTTCTCAGCTTCTCCTGGCGGTCTCTTACCCCATACCATAACCGCGATGCTGGTGTACGTGAACATCAGAACCGTTATTGGTATCACATACTGGAGTACCAATAACGCTATTGAGTAATAATACCTGCAACACATAGACACTCAGTTCAATAGAAAGCCGATCCGCCAATGTTGTTATTAGGAGCCATTATGATTCCATAAATTCGACTGGTTAGACATTAATAGGTCCCTAAAGAGAGAACTTTAAGAGAAATTGAAACAGTTACATTTATCTAAGCGTTCATCTATTTTCGTCTTTGATCCGCGCTGCAAAATTTCCAATTAAATTTTTTTCCCGGTTCAGGATTATTCCTTTTAATATACAAGGTGAACTACGTTTTCAATATCTCCGTTGCTTTTGAAAGTGTATAGAGGAAGCCACAACATGATGGTAATAGTTTCCTTTTGTAGCTGGAGGATTGCTTCCTTCATTTGAAGATTATCTCCACTTTTTTTTTTAAATGAAATAACATATTTTTTTCTTTTTATTCACTTATCGATGCAGTTCGAAATTCTCGACGAAAAAAGATGTATTAACCTACATATAAACAATTTATTGTATGAAAGACGAGAAGAAACAGAGGTCGTAATCTTCTGTCCTCTTTTACATATAAATTCTATAAAGTTAAACTCGAAATATCTACTAAATTAATAATTTTTTCGACGTACATAGATTAACACTTTTTTTTTTTAAGGAAATGTCAAGCTGTATCGATTAATTACAGCAAAAAGTAGAAAAACTATTACTACACATTGTGGCTCACTCTGTTCTAAACGAATTTTGTTAATAAAGCTTTCTTTCATCTTCAAAAACAATAGAGATATTCAAGGTGATTACGTGTAATTACGATCAATTTTACCTAAAATTTGCAATTGAGTTTAATAAACCAGAATTTTAATTACGAATTTTTATACATATTTATGTGCTTTGTCATTGAATAACGCATGTCTTCAAGAGTCAATACGTACAAATAGATGAACATGGATGAATATGAATAATTACTTGTTCTCCATCGATGGCCAAACTTCCACGCAAATGTATTGATTGCATCTTTCATATTGCCTCGATGGTTGAAACAGCTTTGAAACAACAGCGATAGGCAGCGATATTACCATAGCAAGCATCCACACAGCTAAAATTAGCAGCTGAGCTTGCCGTTTGCTCAATCTTGGCTTCAGCGGCCACATAATAGCTATATAGCGATCTATACTAATCGCAACAAGTGTGTACGCGCTCACCAAAACTGACACCGCCTGAAAATGAATATATTTTATATATTAACGAATCATTTCACATCGTTATTATTATTTCTCCGACAAATATTTCTTTCGGAAACGACAAATGATTTATTTTACAGTCAGTGGTAATACATTAATTAATTATTATATTATAGTTGCATATTATTAATATTATTATAACCAGTTCTGGTTTTCAGTCTTCTAATTTATGAAGTCCTTAGAACTCGTTACTGGCTCACGGAGAGTTTAATATTATCGCACAATGAAGTGAAATTTAATCTCATAAAAAATTTATAATTTTTTAATTTTTTTTTTAACTTTTTAATCTCATAAAAGTCTGTAGAGTTTAAGAATACAAATTTAAAATATTACATCGTTAGGAAAAGTTCGTGGTGAAAGTTGAGAAAGTATTCAATGCCAGTGCGTATGATATATATAACATTTTCATAGATTAGTATCAGTGAATAGGCTCCATCTCGAAAATATTTCGGGTTATCCGATAATTACTTCTTCTAAGGAACTTTTATGGGGTTCTGCGATATTTCATTCCTCGAATGAATCTCTTGAATAAATTTTGCAAGGAGCTACGATAACTGCTGATGGGGATATATTACATAGGATGAACGCAGTGAATAAAATTTCATTTTTATTGATATTTGAAATCTTTTTTCAAGAGGTAGAAATACTTGTACGAATTTAACAGGCACAGAAATCGTAGCACAGAAGTTCAGAGTAAAATTTGCTACGTCGGTGAAATATTATCGCAACTATTTTCCCTTTTTCAACTTTTCTTTTCGTCCAATGTTTTCTTCACAATAGTTACGAAGTATCTGAGAATACTTAAGTATCCCAATCACAAAAGTGAACCGTCTTCAAACAAGTGGCAGACAAGAGCAACAGGCGATTGTCTTCACTCAGCTACTTCTTAGCCATCCTAAATCAATATTATCTCGAATTCTGGAAGTTAATCCAGATATTATTAAGGAGATTATTATTCGATCAGAGTTTATATAAGACAACGATTCATAATATTTCGCAAAACGAAAAAGGAAATTTGTAGAAGTTATTTGTATTTATACAGATAGGAAACGAAATAAAAATATCTTTATAAAAATAAAGTTATTTTTATAAAAACTTTTACTAAATTCTCAATGATTTTTTTCTCATTTATTTTAATTCCCGTAGATTTCGTAATACTTACGATGCTTATGTTCTGCTATTTATGCTTCTAATAGCATTAGTAACATTCGAAAGATAGGGCAAACATAGTAAAATGGTTAATGGAGCCTGTCTAGTTCCCTCGATAGAGAGAATTTCTTCGTATGAACTATTTGTTAAAATCGGCCTGCTTAACGACGAGTTTGCGTGTGATTAATGAGACGTCGATATTAAAGTGGGCTGATATGTGAACAGGTCTGGTTGTTTTTCAATGGTTATTGTTACACTTGGCCTTTCAGCTAATAAATTGTTTCTAGATAGATGAATGATTACCACGTCTCTGAATGGTGAGTAATTACGCTTGTTAATGACGTCACCGTGAGTGAAACTGGATTTTCGTGTTCACACGTGCAGCTGAGCCTGCTTCGACAACTGGATAATTGTTTTTGTCTCATTCGATCAAAATCCACGGATCAACTCGCTGTTCGTCGATTTTACATAAAAGGATCGGCTAATGTGATATAACGGTGATGGTATTGTTACTATAGCGTGTTATTAATTTACGGCTGGATAGAATCGCCGAATGGAATATATGTAATTATATCGAATAATCAAGTATAATTAATTTTCAGGCGAGGGTTTTATATTGTATTTCATTGTATCATTAGAGATACTTTGTTAGGAACAGAGATCATTTGGTAATTAGGTTTCTTCGAAGTAATTTTCCTCTCATTTTTTTTTTTTTTTTTTTTTTTTTTTTGATATGTGATGAAAAGAAGAATGATATACATTAATGTGTAAACTTTGTTAGTGTTATTGAAAAAACAATCGTCAGAATTATAGACTTGCATTTGGTCAATGGTTAGTCAAAAAAATTGGAAAAGCATTTCTTGCTCGTGATTTACTAATTAAGTAGGTTCATGTGAGGTCAAGTGCTATCCTTTCGAAAGTTTCGTAAGAACCGTCCAAATATCTCAGATGTATTTACTTTTTGCTAAAAATTTACGCGAAGAATTTTATATAAGGCGCAATCCGGGAGATTTATTCGCAAAACTTATATTTTCCATGGTTCTCAAGATAACGTTAAAAAAGTGGAACTTCAAAGCAAACTTCTTTTCAAAATTCAGCAAACGAAAGCAATACACAATTTTGCTATGTTTTTTACCCAGTAAATTCTGACATCAAACATCAAGGTTTTCGTTAAAAGTTTATTCAAAGATACGACACGATTCCCGTAGAAAATATTAACAAGTTGGAGATTAATCAGAAAAGAATTTATTCGGTGCGATAATATCAATGAAAATTGTAATTCACATTTATTGTATTTCTTTAATTATTCCAAACATTCGAAATTATTAAATTTGCTAATACTTCTCGTCGTTAAATTTTACAATATGTATAATACATACAGCTAAGGAATCAATTTTCCATTCTTTATCAAACTTCTTTCTTTCTACTTTACTACCATTCTCAACAGTTCACCATTCTGAAATGGTATCATGATCTTTTCTCATATCCTTTTCCTCACTTTCACAAGCACAAAGACTAGTAAACGTACCTGTAGATAAATAACGGTGGGACAGAGTTCTGGACCGAACGGCCAATACTGTAGTATCAAAGTGCTGATGGAGCTAGTTGGCACGCAGAAAAGTGCCATCAGGATATCTCCGACGGCGAGATTCACAATGAACAAGTTTGTGACAGTTTTCATTCGAGGGCTGCTGTGTACCACGTAGCAGACCAGACCGTTTCCGGTCAACGCAATCACGAAAATGATGCTATACAGGAAGCAGATAATACCGCGGAACCATTTCGTTGAGAAGACGCTTTGCGATTCGGCGAAATAGTCGCAATCCTTCGGATTCGTTAGATTCCACACCTCGAACTCTTGCAGTCTCTCCAGCGAACCATTCACTTGAACGTCCATATTCATCGCGGCACGCCTTTGTGGAACATTCTCACCTGGAAACAGATTAATTGTTCGAAAAGTTATTAGGAAATCATTTTAGGACAGAAATTCCGTTTGAATCGCACGAGTGTCTTTGATCATTTGTCTAAAAGAATTTGGAATTACGTATATGTAGATTAACGAACAGCAAAATTTATTTATTGCTAAATATCACAACAGGTACACTTCGGGTATATTTTTGCATTCTATGCATTTTCGTAGCGTTCTTATAAGTATGTAAACATCCGCAGTTTCTTAAATTGTTCAAACGTTTCTTTTATTTTAAAATTGTTCATTCGAATCGAACTGTCGCTAGTATTATATTATAGTTGTACCGTGTAACAACTGTTGCTCTCGTCAATTTCAAACTCTTCCCAAATCAAGCAATGGCATTTCATAACATCTATCGAACCCATATTTATTTACTGGAGGATATAAATATTAATTGACCAATAAATAAACGCTGGTAAATCATTCAAACATCGCGACCTTTCCACCCAATATAAATTCTATATTAGCAGAGAACAAATTGCACGAGTGGGCGCAAATTTTGCCTGCGTTGTAAATTTCAATGGCAGACTCAAAATTCCGACATTGCAATTGGAATTGCACTTGATATATTACAAACCATTGTGAGCATGGTTAGTAGAATTCCTAGTTTAGGAGGTTTACGAGGATTACGATGATTAATGAAACAGTTTTTCCTGAAACTGTAATGGCTCGTTTCGTTTCACGAAAAACGAACCAATTTAACAGTTTCTATCCGTGCACGTACGTCGGAAACTTTAATTAAAATTAATTGTCAAGTAACATCGAACTTATTTGTCGCTATGAAAAGTGACACGAAGTAATTTAATTCGGCGAGACAGTTTCTGCAAAAACAACAGATGAAAATGAGAGGCAGGAACATTCTCGTTTTTTTCCGCGATTTTATTGTAATAAAGGTTTTTATCAAGTGTCCTTCTGAATTTGCCTGTTAAATGAAAAACACACAGAATCATGACACCGCGAGTTTTACGTTTTACATAACATTTGCTTTATATATACAACTTGCACTTTTATTGCACTTTTATCGTAAGGTTTATAATTGGCAGTCAGTGACTCGTTAAAAATTTTGATTTACGCTTTAATAGATGGAAATGAAAGTAGAAACGAAATGACGGATGAATAAATAAAATTTCAATAGTAGACAACAGATAATCACACATGTATGTATGTATATATGTACGTATGTACGGATATTTCCCTTTACCTTTGGGATCAAAGGATTTAATTCATCAAAAGCTCAATGTTAATTAAATTGTTTTCTACCATGTTGGTATGCTACATTTCTCCATGATGAACAAAGAATACGCGTTTCTGATTACAAATTGAACACATTTAGGCATTCATCTGTTAACACCAAAACGATTTATCTCTTTCACGCCTGCTTGCCTTTTTTAGCAAAACGTTAGTCACGTGTGCCCGATACCATCTGTGAAAATTCAATGAAATTTACAAACGAAATTTCAATTTTGCCACTTTATCCGGTGAAGAAGATTTTATCGTTTGCTAATACATTTGCACTGAGAGAAAAGAGATCAACTTTTGTTTCCAGCGAATGAAACGTGAGCAAATTCCTGTTTCATTGTAATAGTTAAAAATATGACGATGTAATTTCATTTACGTGTTGCGTTATAAAAGTAAGTTTTAATCGTTTGTTTCTTCCTGTACACCGCGTGTGGCTTGTAAAAAAAAAAAATTTTTCCAAGGAATCGCAAAGGCTTGTCAAATGTGTCATTTCACACGTGGAATTGATTGAAAAAAAGAAAGATAGACAAAGTCTTGAATATTACGTTGAACTGAAAATTACATCGAAGATCGAAAAATTGTATATCATCGTTAAAAAAGAAAAAGAAGAATTTCTATTGCACATGAAACAGTGCATTGTTTCGGCAATATTTGACCATTTTTATGTTTTTTATTGTTTTTGAAAAACTATCGATGGAAATTTGGTTTCATTCTAGTGCTTTTATGGTCAAATGCCAACGAATAGTCGAAATATGTTCACCATGTAGATAGATTGTTAAGAAATGATTGGCAATAATTGAAATATCAAATGTTGTTTCAGAATAAATATTTTTAATTAAAATAAAAAATATTTTTGCAATTATATAAATATTTTTACATATATGAATGTACACACACATCTATATGATCGCTGAATTTTAATCAATGAATTATAAATTTTTTCAGTGACGATATTTATCAATTGCAAAAATACATTTTCTTCATTCCGGGAAATCTATTTTTGTTGATGATAAATATTTATAACAATATTTAGAGAGTACATAAGCTACTTAGATAGGCCAATCAATTTCTCATTTGGAAGTGCGATCGGAAAGTTCAAACAAAGGCAATCACAATCGAAGTGACTTTTATTGGGTAAAACAAACGTTCATTTGTCAAGCTGTTGTACCTCCAACCACATTTCGTTCGGCAAAGAATCATTTATTCATAAATATGACAGGAAATGAAAACCAAATAAGGAAAGAGAAAATAATAGAAAATCATAAGCGTGGAAACAACAAGCTGATAACCACTAACCTTGATAATTGAAAAATCAATGGACGGGAAGATGAGAAATAAAAGACTATCGAGTATACGAATGTTCGATTTTTATAGCTGGATGCGCGAAGCTGGTTTATGTTAGATATGATACGAGTATTTGCTAGATATTGAAAATAAAAGTTTTTAAAATGAGACTAATCCTGACAATTTTGAAATAAATACATTCGTTGTACCGGACAATTGAATATTTTGTGGAGAAACATTTAGAAACGAAAACTTTCGATTTTAAAAATATTTGTTCATGTATCTTTCCTGTATTTATACTAAAACAAACATTTCGAAATATTCCTTATCTCATTTACAGAGCAGTAACTTTAATGTTGTTAATTAATTTCATTATATTTTGCTAAGATCTACATTTATCACGGTTTTTTTCTTCGAGTCACGATCACCCAAGTCATTTCATTTGTTATACTTATATCTTTGTTGTGCTTATACTTGTAATGTTCCCTGAAACACCGTCGATGTAATTATTCCACATGACTGAATAATCATGTTTGTACGTAAAATTTGTTGCAAACATGATAAATATTACGAAAACATCGCCACGCGTGAAATATTATCTCACACCGTGGTTTATGTTACACGGAATTTTAAAAATTCTAACCATTAACAAAAGGTTGCGCCTTTTTGAAGTAACATGTCTCAGTTTCACTGTAGATTATTATATCATAGTGTGTATCGTATTTAAACATTCACAGTCTCCTCTATATTTACATGAACTTGCTACAAATTATGTATTTGCCCCAGCTTCTCCACAAATTTGATCCACATTGCCAATCGTGTTTCTCCAGGTGCATGTAAATGTATGCATATTCAACGACTAAAAGTGATCGATGTAAAAAAACAGATCTCTGAATTAATCTTTGACTAGTTATCGTGATTTGTAATAAGTTTGCAGAAATATAGTAGGATTTTCAGTTTTTGCAAATTATCCTTCGTCCAATCCTGCGTAACAATAAAACACTCAATTCCACTTCTTTGAGTTTGTTAATTTTTAATTTTTTCAAAAACATATATAGCACTGAATTCTCACTCTTTAATCACATAATTATTTTCCCCAATTTCGTTAATAACGTAATTTTTGAAATTATATGTATGTCCACTTTTGCAAAAAAATATCAATCACGTGATGGATATATCAGTAACAACAGCTGCTGGTTAATTTTGTGGAGTGAGTGTTATCTTGTTTCTGATTATTCACCTGGCATTTCGCCACTCTATAAATTATGCCGATCTGTGTGCGAAGAGATAATGCCAGTTAATCTTGCGTTTAATGTGTAAATTTCTATTTCATTGGTATTGGGCTGGTATGCATCTCTTATAAGCCACTGTTCCATCGGTCAGAACATATATATATGTATCTATGCATTCAGGATTTATCCAAAATTCACATTTTCATCTTTTGCTTATTTACCAATATCGAGTAGCCAATATAGTATTTAATATATATATATATTCATTAATTAATAACTGAAAAGAATGTACTTTAATATGATATTCGTAACAATTATAATATTGTATTCTTTACTATGTTTCATATTTATTTATTTTTTTTTCCGGTTTATTTAGAGAAAGGGATTATTCATCCGAAGAATGAATATTTCAATGTTTTACGCTCGACAGAGTATTAAATACAAATTGCGATAACGCGTTAACGTTCGCTTAAGTGTAATGTTGAAAAGATTCAAATGTAAAACGTGAAATTTGTGCTGTTCAAATTTCTCTCATTAAAGAGAACAGAAAGAACAATTATGGAAACTGAACAAAAGAAGAACTGGTCGATAACCTAGATAGCTGAGTTACGTCTATTGATAGCGATATCCGATAGGTCAGCGGTTTTTTTCTTCCCCCAGTCTGAGAAATCTCGAAGTGGAATCGACGATAGCTTCTCACGTAATATTTACGTTTATGTACTAATGATATTTTTATGGACAGCATTGAATTGTTTCACATCAGAATGATCGACTATGATGAATCGATATCTGTGCTATGACGATAAAGACACGATGCCGATCTCCTTTATTGTTATACTCCTATACTCCCAATCTTTTCCTCAGATATTATTTTCTAATTCTAAGTGTAATTCAGAGATCGCTGGAAGATCGCTCGTAAAGTAATTGGAACGTTTATTTCTTGATGGAAAGATACACAATCGAGAGACAATTTCTCTTTATTACGTCGTCTATAGAAGCTCTATCGCGCTGTTCGCATATTAATTGTCAAAAGTACATGTGTATTAGGAACGATCAATAACCCGAATGAGTCTACTTCGTAGACCAAGAATCAGACAGTCGGGGAATTCATGTTCGCTTCCCAGTTTAGCAATTCGATCTCTTCCTTTTATTTCAAAATTTGCAGGAGGCTTTGCAAATATTATTATTTTTATTATTCTTTATCAGCG